AGGAACAAATGTACGTGTATTAAAAAAGTCCGTCTTTGGGATTTTGAAACAAGCAGTCGCGGGCAATTACTAATTGGCCAATAGTACAATATTTATTCACACTCGTTTCAATTTAATGCACACTAGTACGACACCCGTGTACTACACAGGTTGTTTGAAAAAAAAATATAAAATATAAAATAATAAAAAAACACATGTTGTTGTATAAAAGTGCAAAAATAGAAAATACCAAAGTCGATATTATTTCAAATTTTGAAAAATTTCTTTGTACACAACATTAATAGTTTTATTTATAATTTTTCCATCTTTATCGCAACACAAAATTTTCAAGCCTCTCCTACTTAAATTCAATTTTTATAAAATGAATAATCGAGATGAAGGGGAATCAGAATGAAGGGGATGGTGATTTAAATAATGTAGAGAACAACTACCCTTTATTCATTTAATTTAATAATAAATATCATTTTTGAGGGGATCGGATTAAGCAAAAATATATTATATTAAGCAATCTGATTTGTTTTTGTCACATCGATTTCGGCAATGATTATTGGAGGGCAAAAAAATCTTATTATAAGAATCCTATTTATTGTGGAGTTGGAGGGGTGAGATTAAGCAAAAATCCTATTTATTAAGTACTTTATTTTAAACAATTAGGGAATGTAATTATAGTGTGTCCGAACCTATTTATTTTGGAATATAATTGTATTAAATTTTATCCAAACCAAAAGTCGAAGCATGTAATGTTGCCAAGTAAGCTTCCGAAGCGTGCGAGGTGGCCATTTAGGCTCAACATATTTAGATTAGAAATATTCTAAAATGTTCATCAAAATTTATTTTATTTTTATTTCAAATCTTTAAAATATATTAGAAAGATCATGTAATATTCTATAACTATTTCAATGTATTTTTATAGATATTCTAAAAATATTTAAATAATTTATTTACCATGGTGTTTATTAAAATTTATTTTGTTTTTATTTCAACTCTTTAAAATTATAATAATTTTTTTTAATTTAACTATATAAAAAAGCTCCTAGGGTTCATCAAGAACATAACATGACCATAGGCAGTTCTCCTTTTGGGTTCCAAAGCGCATGTACCAGCATGAAAATGAATAATTATTATTTACATTAATTATATAAAGCTAAAATTTTTATTTTGGTAAACACTCGTATATTAAATGAAAATGTCAACTCGTGTCGTTTTGAATCGGCATATAAGAATCCTAATCCTATTTACACAGCATATAAGAATTCTATTTATTTTGGAGTTGGAGGGGATCGGATTAAGCAAAAATCCTATTTATTAAGTATTTTATCTTAAACAATTAGGGAATGTATATGAACCAAAAGCCGAAGCATGTAACTAGGGTTAGGGTTAGGTCTTTTTATTGGTAGTCTATTTAAATTCGAGCTTTTTAAGCCGAAACCATTAGGGCTAGCTCATTTAACATCTCTATTAATAGGCGTAAGAATAGTACAATAAAAAATAAACACATCATGAATTAGGAACAAATGTACGTATATTAAAAAAAGTTCGTCCTTGGGGTTTATTAAACAAGTATTCGCGGGCAATTAATAGTACATTATTTATTCAGAAAATTATCACATGTACTCTTTCTCTTCATCTTATATTCATATTTGCATTTTATTTATTTTTCTTAAAGTCGTATTTTTTTTTTCATGTATTTAAGACGTATTTATGCTAAGCTAAAATTTATAAAGAATTTGTGGACACTATGAATAAGACAACTAATGAAAGTTATCAAAAATTCCTCCAACTAATTAAACCACCATATTAAAAATCTCTCTCACCAATTGCTCTTTCGCCGTCCGTGAGAGAGAAGAAGAAAGAAACCGTGGTTTTTGAGTTTTTAAATTAAAATGAAGCCTAAGATTTAAGGTCACTGCTCGAAAACCTCCTAGTGGTTGACGAGTTGGCTACAGAGGTCCTGATGAAGTACTGACCGAAGCCGAAAGGCGCCGCCAAGACGATGTTGGTGAAAGAGGACTTTGAAGACTGTGGCGTGAAGCGCTCTAGAGCGGAAGAGGAGATGTCGAATACAAATGGAGAAAAAAAGGCAAAAATCGAGGATGCCAAGGCTGACGAGAATTCAGGAGAGTGAGATTGGAGGAGGATGTGAAGGAAACAAAGAGAAAAAGGCAAAAGTCTAGGATACCAATGCAGTAATCCATCGAGATCTTCGATTTGACTTCATCATTGACAGTGCCAACAAGGTTAATGTGTTTGTTGTGTTTTTGTCATGTTTTTCGTGTGAATTTCGTGCCTTAGTCGAGTTCTTTAAGGTTCGTTTTAGTGTTAACTGGTCCATTTTGTCGTGTTTCATGTATTTTTGCTTTTGTCGTGTGTTTTTGTGTTTCAACGTATTTTTTTTTCTTTTTTTGTGTTGATTAAGTCCATTGTGTAAAATTCGGGAAGACGTGCCATCCGAGACATCTGAGCCATTACCCGAGAGAGAGAGAGAGAGAGTCTTGACCCGGCACTCGCCCGCGAGCCTGAGACCTGTGTAATCGCGTGTGAAATGTCGTCCACGAGTCTGCGAGAGACCAAGGAGGCAGGCCGAGCACTCACCGCGAGTAATGACCTGCGAGAATGCGAGAGACTCGTGCCCAACTATCATGCACTCGCTAGAGAGACGCGGTCTGGAGGCAGCGAGAGGACCCAACGATACCCGATGCACTCGCCTGCGAGACGTCATTCAAGAGCTCTCGAGTTCCCTTCAACTGACCCGTGCACTCGCCTGCGAGAAGACTCCACGAGGCCGCGAGTATAGGCTTGCGAGACCCATGTCGCGTGCTACACTCGCTAGAAATTTTCCAACAGCGAGAACGCAACTTACGAGCCCGAGTGACCTAAGCACTCGCCAGCGAGACGCTAGTCGTTGCGTCGCGAGTCCAGCCCAAGAGAAGACCCGTGCATACTTGAGCACTCGCAGCGAACAGGAATTGGCGACCCCGCGAGTTCAAAATTTCATTAAATGTGTGTGAAAGAAGTGTATGTTTTGGGGTGTTAGTATAATATACATGTGTTCCCTTTGTGTGGGGTCACCTAGACTTCATTTCTTCCTTTTTCCCTTTTGGAAATCGCTCTTTTTATTATCTTTTTCTATGCATTGTGTTTGGAGTTTCAAGACTCAACTTTTTTCGGCGATTCCGCTTTTAATTAAAGTTTTGACCTTTACACATTAATTTCGTTAGAGCTCGCAAAAGGAGAGTAAGTACCTTGCATAGGACTTATTACTTCGATTTTTTGTCCTTCTTGCTTATGATGTTAATCAAGTTAAGTTGGTGTCTTGGCCGGAATCATGTAGGCTCGATTTTAGGATCTTTCTATTTTTCTTGCTTGCTTAAGTGGATTAGGAATTGAATTCGTGCTTATCTTGGATTAAAAGTTAAGACTTTGTTCAAAGCTTGATCATTTAGGTAGCAGGATCGATTTAGTTACCAAGAACATTATTACTAGCATGTTTCGCTTTGTTTTATTTTCGTTTTTATCGAGTCGAGAAGACTCAAGAACCAAAGTTCGAATCTTTTCTATAAAGCTTGCACCTTTATAAAATTGCTCTCAATTCGTAGTCCGTTTTAGCTCAAATCAACCCTTAATCGAGCTTAGAATGTTTAGGATTTTGTTTTCTCTTTTTGTGCTTTCAACAACTAATTGGTAGACGAAGCTCCGAATCACTTTCCTTGAGAGACGACTCAAGTGAGATCCTTCGATCGTACTCAGCTAAAAACAACTTAACAAACGACGCCGTTGCCGAGGATACGTTTCTTATTAAAGTTTCAACCTTCTTTCGTTTATTTCGATAGAGCATGCATCAGGAAAGTAAGTACCTAATTTAGGACTTGTTATCTTGATTTTTGTGCTATTTTTACTTACTTTGTTTTAGAGGTAAATTTAGTGTCTTGTTCAAAATTTTCCTGTTAGGGTCCATTCTAGTTTAATTTGCTAGCTTATCTTTTATTTTTCCCCTTTATTGTATTTAGTTAGTTTAAAGTTTAAATCTTTTAAGAGAAGAATCGAAACTTTGTCTTAGAGTTCAGTGATTTTGTAGTTAATCGTTCGATGAACATGTCAAACAGTAATAAGATAAGACACTATAAAAATAACAGTTCGAGCTAACACCCACCAATCTTCTTCTCGGTGAGAGGGGGATAAAGTCTTTTGGTAAGACCATAGTGAAACAGCAACTGGTCGTTGCTAGGGAGGAAGAAATGACATGAGCACTATTCCAAGCTTAATCATGAGGTTGTAAGCTGAGGTACAAGGGGGATTGGCGTACTTGGTAGGAACAAATTTAAGCCAATTGGTAGAGAATGAAAGGGGAGAAGGAGGTCGTACAAAAAAAAAAAAAAATGGTCCTCCATTTGGGAATGCTGGAGGGAATGTCGGCTCGAAACTTAGACTTATTGCAGTTCGCGAGGTGCAAAGCCACTTTTTGATATTTGGTTACATAGCAATAAAAAAGTTAGGGTTGATATGACCTAATCTACAAAAACAAAGTATAGAATAAACAATGAGGTGTCCAATAGCATTGGGAGAGAGCTGGTTGAAGGAAAGGTAAAAAACGCGGCAAAGGTCGAGCATGCCTTTGATTAAGGGAAATCTGAGGTCGTGCTCCATTTGGTCCTAGAAGAACGTGTAGCAACAAGGCGGGGGATCGACGGCAAGCCTGTCAAGGGGTCGAGCCTCAACCTCGATCTTGAGGAAGCAGCCGTAGACCTCGCGATCAGGCGTCGCAGTCCGCCCAAATGGAGGTGGTGACGACCAATGCATGGCGGCAGCGCCCTGCTTGAGGGCAACATCGGCCGAGGCGTGCTGCATATTTTCCTTTAGCATGTGAGAGTTGATTTTCTTTCTTTCTTTTTTTTTTTTTTTATTATTATTATGGTCCTGCCATCAGTTTTGGAAAAAGAGGAAAAGTTATAATTTTTAATTAATTGTTTAATTAATATATGTTCATTTTAGTAGATGTGCAAATAAGTGAACAATTTTATCTTCAGAGTATGTATGTAGCCTTAAAAAAATTTGCTCAAGTGAACAATTTTATGTTCACTTTGCAAATTACATCCCCAAGGCCCAAAGTCGGCCAACCAATTGCCTTCTACTCCCCAAGTAAAAGCGCTTTGGGTGGTTTTCGCCGGAGCCCCTCCCATTACTCAGCCGTCCACAACAACTCCGGCGATCCCCCGAATCGATTGCACTGTAATTTACTAAAATGACCTCGTTATCGGCTCTGGAGCTTCCTTCCTTCTCTCTTCTCCACCGTACATCAGTCTTGGCGCGACCCAGAAGTCAGATCCAATGCCGCGCCCCAAGCCGGCCCAGCCCGAATACACACTCCATCTCCAGCTTTCTTTACGCACCCTACCGAGTTTCGGGCCCTGGGCCGGTCGTGGTCGCCGCGGCCTCCGGGCTACTTGCCAACGCTGCTTCTGTAATGTTTTCGTATCCTTTATTTTCTTTTTTTGACTCTGTAAGTTTTCTTTTCTAATTAATTTCGTGATTTGTTGGAAAACAAAAGAATGGGGTATTCACGGTGGGCGATTTTATGACGAAGAAAGAGGATTTGCATGTTGTGAAGTCCACAACAACTGTGGATGAAGGTTTCTTTATTTTTCTTTCACTGTCATTTTTGCCAGATTATTTTGAGTGATGGTCAATGCCTGCGAGTTTTTCTGTTTAATTTATTTTGTTCTCTGGAACAGCTTTGGAAATGCTTGTAGCAAACAGAATAACTGGTTTTCCTGTGATTGATGATGACTGGAAGTTGGTAAGCTTTCCTTCTCTGTGTGTGTGTGTGTGTTTTCCTTGTACAGGAATTAGAAGCTGGCAATCAGATAATAATATTTGGGGTAAAGATCGACGTTTAGTATTTTTATTGTACGTTTTTGTTGGATTAAGTATCAACTATTCATGTATGATCTGCGTGCATTTGCAAATAATGGCTTAGGCATGATCGGAGTTAAAGTTGGAAGTTTGAATTCTTTTAGCAGACTTGTGGTATTGCTGGTTATAGAGATGAGAGCTTGATTGAGTGTAAATTTCCCCATAGGCTCCTGTGTCGTTTTAGATTTCCATGGGGTAACTGATAATGTATTGCATGCTGATTGCCAATTTGTTGAAATTAGCACAGAGATCATTTAATGGAAATGCTTTTTAATTTTTCCTTTTTAACTTCTTTGAGTTTATATGTTATTTGATTCTAAAGCAGTATGAGCCCGTTAATCTGCAGGTTGGTCTTGTGTCAGACTACGATTTATTAGCACTAGACTCCATCTCAGGTTTTATCCCTTTTTTTCTTTCCTGGTGATTTATTTAATTAAATTTCTAGATCATTCCTTCTCTGTTATTTTGGAGAACTTTTGAGTTACATGTTTTTCATTTTGTGGAATTTTATCCACATGCATCATCATGCATATATGAAATTTGTGCTAGTTATGTTTCCAATCTCTTGTCATCCACATGTATGCAAAAAACTCTCAAGATAGACCATAGCTGCAAGTATGGGATTGATTAAGGTTTTGAAAATGGGAAAATTTGTATAAATAACTTTGCCAGGCAAACCATGGTAGTTATTTCTTGATTATGATTATATTATGTCTTTGGCATTTTCCTCTTAAAATGTGAAGAAATATATTCCGTTATCACTGTTTTAGGTACTGGAAAAACCGAATATATTCCGTTATCACTGTTTTAGGTACTGGAAAAACCGACACAGACATGTTTCCAGAAGTCGACAGCACCTGGAAAGTATGTTCAAAGTCCTCTCTCTCTCTCTCTCTCTCTCTCTCTCTCTCTCTGTAATTATTTATCTTGCTTTTCTAATACTGTAGTCCAATCACCATTCTTTTTTTATGATATGAGTTATGAATTATAGTCTTATGTTTCCAAAGGGATTGGGTAAAAGCAAAAAAGGAAATTTAAAGCACATGCTGGACTACTGCCTGCTGTCTAGTGGTGCTTATCTTGAACATTTGGTAGATTTTTTAAAGAGATTGCGTTTAATCTAAATTTAGTTTAGAAAATCTCGGGAGGTTTCATTCTCTGGTGTCTATGTTAGCTTACATGTCCTCTCAAATTAGATATTTTTAGCATTACTATAATTCGGCCCTTGGAAAGGAAGTTCACTTTACAGATCCAAGTGCATGTTAATTGACACACTTTATTAGAATATTTCTGGACCTCATGCCAATTGGATTCATTCTAAGCAAAATCTGCCTGATATTGCTATGATGATTTTTAAATGTAACACGTGAGATGACTTTCACATAGTGCATTGAAGAATTGGCTTTCTAATGGTGGTTGTTTTGTGTACGGAATTATGCTCATATAATTGTACCAATTCTTCCTGAAATCCCTGTTTGTCGGGGAAAATTGTTTTTTCATATCTTTGTTGTATTACATTTTTCGTGTATGTAGGCATATTATGCTCAATTATTGATGCTGCTTCCACATTCTGTTCTGTGTGGACCCCATGCATGAACCGTAGAAATATGCAATTAAAACTACAAGATTATTAAGAAATTTGAGAAAACTCATATTTTAAGGGTTCAGTGTAATTACTCTATTATTTATGCACCAAATCTCTTCGAAATTGATCGAGGGAATGGAAAAGCCACTCTAGAGTTGCTCCATACTCCTTGAGTGATAGCTGAGGAATTAGTAATTAAAATCGATTATAATAATAAAATCCGTACAGTGTATTTGCTTGGGGCTCCTCTAACACGGGACTTTCTTGAGATTTTAATGCAAGTATTAAACAAACGTACATGGATGAGGTTGTAAGTAAAAAGAGAGACTTTCTTAGGCACAAACACTTTGTGGGTTTTTCCTTGCAAATTTTATCTTATCACTAGTTTTCGAAAATAACTTGTGTACACAGACGTTCAACGAGATACAAAAGCTGCTGAGCAAAACCAACGGTCAAGTGGTAGGTGATGTGATGACGCCAGCGCCTATGGTTGTTCATGAAGCTACAAATCTCGAGGATGCTGCTAAGTAACCAACTTAATTTTTGCTCCTCGATATACTGACATTTTTATCATTAAATTAATGTTGCACAAAAGTTTGATTTTGCATTTTGTCGTTAATTCTCAGGTTGCTTCTCGAGACAAAATACCGCCGCCTTCCAGTCGTGAGTGACGATGGCAAGCTGGTGAGTGCAATTTCATTCTTCAAATACGCATTTCCTT